TTCAGGGACAGTTTTGACACGGGATGCGATACACTGTGGCGGTCAAGGATGTGAGATCAACTGAAACCACGCACAATAAGTGCGTTTCGTCTAATGGCAGAAGTCAGGGAGCTGTGAGGATTAGTTTATTCTGTACACAGGGCAGGTTGCCGTAAGTTGGCTGTTTGCTTGCAACAGAGAAAAGCGTCCGTTCACGGAGAGCGTCAGTCGCGGTGTGTGTCTTGTTTACGCGGGAGTGGGTGTCCGGGTCAGCAGGAGGGGTGACTGGCTGAGTGTTGGTCGTGTGATTGGATAAATTAGGAGAGGAATGGAGGGCGCATACTCACAAGGCCTCACGGGAATCAAGCCAGAGCGTTCGATGCGCGTTAGGTGATACTAGTTTGTGAGGGCAGCCGGGAGTCACTGCAGCTGGACAGGAGGGACCCCAGTTCTAGCCGGTGTGGATGGTCGTGTCAGCGGCCTGTCAGTACTTGTCGCGGCCATCGACCGACAAAACGGAGCCGGAGAAAAGGGGGCTAGATCGGCTGCTGCAACACTATTCCAGATTGCTCTTCAGGCCTTAACCGGTTTTTAGTTTTCATTACCCTACTGCGCATGGTGGCGTTGGGTAGGTGTGCAATTCCAGCACCTGCCTCCGCAGTAATGCGCTAGGTCGCTTCTGAAACATCCATAAAGTGTGGCAGAGAGTGCCATATCGTGGGTGTTGTCGATGTTTGGATCCTCTGGGGGTGACCGCGTAGGCAGCGACTTATGAAGGCCCTCGGATAGCCATTTTGCACAAACTGGTCGCGGAGACAATAGGCCTCATGTGCTCTTTACTCCGGTTCGCTGCAACGAGTTTGGATCCGTTTGAAGAGCTTCTCACGCAGCTTCGTTTGTGAACCACCGGATGGTTGCTGTGAAAACAGACAAGCTGTGTAATGTTCGTTGCCTTCCCACAAACTGTCCTTTCAACTTCACCGTTAAGGTTTCCTCTGACAAGCACATCCAGGAAAGGCAACTGCTGTTCCCGTTCTTCTTGCCTCGTCAATTTTACATCACAGAAGACTGCGTTGGGCAGGCATGTTGCAGCATGTCCTTCTTTACGATGACAAACGTGCCTTGTACTTACCGGCGCCAAAATACCCGCTCATGGTTTTACCGACAAAGACAAGGGAACCCCGGTAACATCGGTAACACCATTCTGCCTATATCATGCGCCGCTGTGTGGCGGCTGGTTGAGCTCGAGAGAGAGTCCGTAAGGCACAACGGAACGAGTGAGTTCCGTAAGAACGATCGGTGAGCGCCCCCTACCATACCGGCTCATGTTGGATGAAGGCTATCTTTTTAACTCCTGTAGGACCAGTTCTGCCACTAAACCGGAGACCGATGAGCCCATTGGAGTTCCTTTAATTTGTTCTTAGGTCTCCCCAGCAAAAGTGAAGAAAGTTTGCTGGCAGAATTCAAACAGCATCACAAGGTATTCGATTTCGAGTCACGTCGTACGCCCCTTCAAGTCTCTTGCGCAGGACTTCGCGGGCCAAGTGTGGTGGGATGGATGCGAATAACAACGTCACTTCAAAGGAGACCACGATTTCGTCCGACCGAATCCATCGACTTCGGAGGTCTATGAGGAATTGAGAAGCTGATCGGAATGAGGTAGTTGAATTGCCTTGGAGGAACTTCAGTTTTGAGTAAATCCACTTTGCCAAATTGTAGATGGGTCTGCCTTTTAGGGCAAAGATTGGCCGCCGTGGGATATTTGCTTTGTAGATTTTTGGCAGACCATAGAATCGAGCTAGAGCGCTGCCAGTTACCTTCATTTGATGTCATTCATTCTCTGTGGTCACATTTTTATGCTGATATTCTCTAAGCAGTTTACTCAGCCGATCTGCCACTGCTCTGGTCTGTGAGTTCTGTGCTGGTCTGTAAAATTCCCTGTCACCAAGAAGGGCTTTAGCTTTTTCATTATAGTCTTCTCGATTCATCATGATGGTTGATCGTCCCTTGTCAGCAGTCAGGGTGATGATTCTGTCGTTCCTCCTCAGTTCCCTCATAGCTTTTGACTCACTCTGCGAAATATGTTTGGTCGGTCTGTGTATCATCAGTAAGGAGGTAACACGTTGTCAGAAGGAGGGTTTCTTGTCGTCGGATGTTTCCATTCTCACAGACAGAGCTTCCAGGACTGCGGTGAAGCCGACATGATCGGCATCTGCAGTGTTGGAACACGTTGAATGCTGCAGCACTCGTAGTTGCTGCTATGTTAGCTGCTTAGACGAGAGGTTGTGGACCAAGTTTGAGCTTATCGCGCCTGTCAGTCTTAGCCTAGTCAGTTTCTGTCCCAAAAAGTCTTTCTTCTTGGCTTGCCCGTGATGTGCCGGAGCCACGATGCCTAAGATATAAAGCTCCGGTTCACAGGGCTATGGGAAGAGGCGTTGTGAGGCCGTTTGTCAAACAGATGACGAGAGTTCTCATCGACGATTGTCACTTACTCCACGGATCGACGACTGAAGCAGGCTGTGTGGCCGAGAGATGGAGAGACAAAAG